CCCCAAAACCCCAAAACCCCAAAGCAATGATTTTATTAGAATTCATTTGAATTTAAAAGTTTAATTCATAAATAAATTAAATATATATTTTGAATTATTTCAGCAAGCATGGAAATAAACCTTGAATGCTCTGGTAACTTTAATATTCCATTCTTCATTTCTGTTTTCTTTGGACTTTGCTTATTGATTGATATTTATAGATATTATGAATGAGGACTTCTCTTAGTTCTTTGACGCAAATTCTTAGATCTGTTTAAATGAAGATTCTTTCGTCTAAACCCCACAGAGCTAAGGTATATAAATGATTGCGTTAAGTTCAGCCTAAGTCTCGTAGTATAATAGTTAGAATTAAATGAGTACTTAAAACAATTAGCAGATCGTTCCTTAATAACTTCCAGTTTATGTAAATCTACTAAATTATTAAAGGCAGTCATCCCAAAACTCATTAGTAAATCATAATAAAAAATCATCGATTCAAGTAATTTGTCAGTAGCAAGAACAGGAAAAATTGCAGTAGTTAATTCAGCATTCAATGACTAATTAAGAAAAGAATTAAACTGATAATTAAAACGAATAGAAATAGCAGCAGAATATTATTTAGGGATTCTAAGATTTGAATGGGATGAGTATGATTCAATTCGATAAAAACAATGAGACAAGCAATAACATAAATTAGTCATCAGTTAATATTATGACTAAAGATTAAGAGTAATTTGAAGACAATCCGATTAAGCTTGATCAAATTGGGCTTGACATTGATTTGAGCAATATCAATTACGAGAAAAATAATGAATCAATCCTAATAGTAACTTAAGGAGAAATAAAATTTGAGTAATCTTAGTCAAAAATCAAAAGATAAATGATTGATAATCCTATCATAGAAAATGGCAAGTAACAAGATTTTAAATCTTAAATATCAATTACTAATTCCCTTTAATTGAGTAATGGTCTCAATTAATAAAGTTTGAATAATTAATAAGATTCAAGCTAAAATAATTAAGGGAATTATTCTCAATCAGAAAATACTTCATCTTAAGTAACACCTAAGCCCACTACAACAACTAGCAGCAATAGTACTTGGTAGAAGGTAAGTTTCACTAAAAGAAGATCAGCTAACAATGTAACAAATAATGGTGCAGAGAGTAATAAGGCTAAAGCAACAAATAACAACATAAGTTCAATTCAGAGTAGAATAATTTAAAAATAGCAGAGTAATCCTACTTAAATAATAGACTACGATGAGAAAAACATGAGTCAGTTCAAATCATCTTAGCTTCAATAGCATGACTTAAAGCGTAAAAAATCTCTTAAAGTAAGATAACCAGGTGAAATATTGCCTGTATTTGATTGTCTATTCTGCTGCTAAGAACATTTCGTCCTAAACAAGATAAACGAAAGAACTCTTATTGTTAAGTATGCCAATCATCCTCTAAGATATGAAATATAAAGAGATAAATTAATGCTGAACATGCTTTTAAAGCAAAAGGAAGTCAGTATCTTAAATCATTTAGTGGTTAAAAATATAGAACAAGAGTTTTAGCAGATTGAGAATATCCAACAGTAAATTGAACAACTAGAGGAAAAAAGAAGGCGTAAGGAATCTAAAATCTAGAATGCTGAAACTAGTAAAGGAATTCTAGCATCGATTACTTAAAATATTGTATCTAAGCCGATAGTGATAAAACTGGCTCAAGTTACGAAGTAAATAAAGTAACTAAACGAAAAGAAGTTGGAATAAATTGGCAAGGAAGCTATAATTAGCACTGCTATAAAGCACAAAAGTAACGACATTGATAAAGATTAAAGAAATTTCTTCGGTGGATTAAGTTGTGCAGATAGTATGATGGACTAGTCAAATTTCCTTAACATAAATCTGAGGACAAGAAGATAACGAGTACTATAAAATATTTCTTTTCAAACTGATTATCACAATATCTATGATCCTTGTTATACATCTTAAGAGAGTAATACCTCTGTTAATCTAGATGATACAGAGTCCTAGCATTTTTCAAAGGATATTGAAGAATCTGAGTCATCATTAGAAGAATATAGTGAAGAAGAGTAAGAGGAAGAAGAATATGATGATGAAGATGATGCTAGTGAAGAGATTGAAGAGGAAGGCGAAGATGATGAGACCTCGAAAAATGAAGAAGATTAAGAACATATTGACATTGAAGAGGAAGATGAAGAACTTAAGGAGATTGTTTAGGAATACAATAGAAAAGAAGAGGAACTAAAGAAGAGCCCATAACTTAGTAAACAAGTTCACTACGTTTCTAATGAGGGAAATAATGACAGTTAAAACAATATTTGTGGCATTTCAAGCATTGACCAATAGATTGATGAAGAGGATTTTGCAGGAAGTGATGAAGACAATCCAACTCCACTTACAAATAACATAAATTTTAATAACCCAACATCTTTTACAAATATAACAGGTGGCGAGCCAATATAAAGCTACAATCTTAATATTCAAGAAAATCCTATTTCTCGAGATGAAGATGACGAAGGCAATGAAGATTTCGATGATGAGGAAGATGAAGATGAGGATGAGGATTCTGAGAGATATACCTTTGGTTGAGTCACTCCTAAAGGTGAGGGTGAAATAATTGGAAATGATTAGTAAAAAGTAACTTTCTCTAATTGCTAAGGTGAGACATCACTAAGTCCTGTTAGGGCTCTAGGAAGTACTTTGATTGGATAAGCTTAACTTTCTAAAATTGAGCTACAATACTAGCTTTAAAAAGTAAATGACGAGTACTTTGAATAGTAGTCTATTTCCTAGGGTAGTCATCAAAAGAATGCCATGCTGCTTGATATTAGTCCTGTTAGTTGTAATAGAGTTTAAAGAGTACCAAATTACATGATGGATGGAACAGTGATTTCAAAAGATATTGATCAGTACATGAATATTCAGTAAAATGATCATGATATGGGATCTATCAGAGCCAAAATAGAGTTCTACCCCTCTCAGGAAGTTGATTCTCTTGATATTCATATTACTTCTGTCCCCACATTACAATAGCAAAGATCTTTCGATGATTCATCAAACTTTATTACTTAATAGCATTTCCCTTAAAAAAGTTAGGTGCATTTCGAAGATGATTCCGAGGAGTTTTCTAATAAATTTCCTTTTCAAAAATAACTCTAATACTCTTATGAATAAAAAAGCAATGAATATGACACTAATCCTGTGGATTAATCGAAGCTCTAAAGCTAGATTAAATTCTAGTGTTAAACTAACACTAACTAAAATGACTAGATAGATAAAAGACTCCAAATAATCCAGGAAAAACAGCAACAGAGCAAGTCATTTACGACTAATACTTATAAAACCAATCATTAGAAACTAATCCCTATGCAGTAATTCAACAAATTTCAAGGTTAAACTAACTAAATAACACCTACATCTAATAAAAATGATCAAGGAGCTATCAGAGATGCTAATTACCATCTATAATCCTAATTTTTTACTAAATAGGAAAAAGAGTAGATCTAGGAATTTATAAAAAACAAAAAATTTCCTCTCAAAAAATCAAAATAGGTAGTTGCTAATAGCTAAAATAGTAAAATTAATAATCATCTTGGCTCATTTGATTCTATCAAGTAGAAAAGAGTGGATTCTTAAATTGCATAGAGAACAGGCTCATAAATCGACAACAATCAATGCGATATAATTTAAGTTGAAGCCACAAAATAATCTATCTACAAGTAAAAGACTCAAGCTTTATGCACTCCAATTGATACAAACGATAATATTCTACTTTAATATGGCATTAATGGTGCTTAATCAAAAACCAATAAGACTACTGTAAATCAAAATACCAGAAGATAAAACAGCACTAGCAATGGCAATATGTTTTTAGTTTAGAATCAAAATGGGACTACATCATAATCCAATATACTCTTTGTAGGTGAGAATATGCCAATGACTGGATAACTATTAACAAATAGGAAGCATAATGAATAATTTTTCAGTATAAAAGTTCCTGCATCAGAAAAACCTCAGAATGGAAAAAAGTAATTTCAAAGAATTACAGAAAAAAATTATATGTAGTACTCAGAGCAAATTGTCAGAAATCAATAATAAAGCCTTTAGGTAAATAAGAATTCAAGCATGAAAACAGTTAATCCTACATAAAGTCCAAGTGTTTTGAAGCAAAGCTAAAGAATTCTAAATACTAATGGTTAAAGTATGAATGATGCTATGTCTCATATGAGTGTAAATTAATTAAGCAAAAAGGATATTGATCATTTCTTGAAATCAGCACTTTGTAGTAGCAGATACCAAACAACATCAAATAATCAATCACATTTCAACAATCTCTTTAAGCAGTCTATAGACATGACAAATTACGATAAGATGAGCAAAAGCAATGGAAAGAAAAAAAGAAAGTCTAAAGTATCACTCTCCAAGAATAATCATACTAATTCAATCAGTGATAATAAAAAAATAATCAAAGCAAAGAAGTCTACCAAAAAGATCAAATAACCTAAGAACTTTTTAAATTAGCAAGAGTACTATCAGTAGAAACAGCAGTAGCATTAGGATATGTAGAACTACGCTAATATCTGTAACTCAATGAATTTCAGCAATGATTACTCAATTCCATCTATCCTAAGCAATGGAGGGCTACAATAACCAATTAATTAAAAATCATCAAGCATGAATTCAGGTCAAATCGATCATAAATCTTCATAAAAACAGTTGATGTATCAATCAATTTAAGATGCTTAGAATATGCTTCATAATATTAACTATTGCAACAATACAAACATCTAGGACACCTCCAATAACTTCCCATATAGTGGTTCATTATAAGCTGAGATGAGCACAACCTGTATATCAAATGGCTGCAATTCAAACTAAATGATTTAAAATGGAAATACAAATTAGATTAATCTGAGTAATATCTAAACCAACTAGTTTAATCAGCATTTAATTTAGCAAAATAGCATGAACTAAAGCTCTACCACAAATAAAAAGGGTTATAGGAAATAATAATAGCTTTAATAACTTCAGCATATCAATAACAACATGCAAATGAACAAAGATCAACTGCAAAAGATGAATAGTAGCATAGAGGAGATGACTCTTTTTAATTTACTATCGAGTATGAATATCAAGAAGCAGCCAAAACAGATTAAGAATGATAATAAAATAATCCATAAAAATGCAAAGCTTAGTCAAAGAGGCTCAATAAGTGTTCAAAGAAGCTAAAACTTTAATGGCTATAGTTCTATCGAAAAATCTATAGCAAATAAGAATACTGATCCCTCAATAGATCCTAAACACTAAACCACAAATATATTGGTTAATAACATGAACTAAATTATACCAGGTCATCATGGTCAATTCTCTTTCAGTCAAAATAATGTAAAGCTCAACTAAACTACCAATCTTAACAAAACTACTACTGGTGCTCATAGAAAAAGAATGAGTAAGGGAGGGAGCGGAACTACGAATGGTAATACTTTTAACAATGTTAATATTCAAATAAATACAACTTCAAGCAGCTCCACACTTAAGAATACATCTGTTTAAGCCTAGAGAAGAGATAATGTTTAGAGAACAAGGAGCACAAGCAAATCAAATCACAATATCAAGACTGACCTCCCAACTCATCAATTACTTTTAACCAATTAAGTGGCAGTATCATAATAGGTCTTACTAAAGAATAAGTAAATACTATTCTAATCAAACATCTAACCTCCCTCTTTGAATCTCACAAATGGCGGAATCAAGCTAAGTTAAGCTAAGAATGTAACTATGAAAAGGAAAAAGGTCTTAACTACTTCAACTGATTAGACTAACACTTATCATTAAGATTTAACGTCTTAGTCCAGGCAGATTCAAAATAATTCTAGAATCAGCAATAAGACATCTTATCCTCAATAAGAAAAGGGAAAGATGAATTAATTTACTGGGTTAACCAACAAAAACTTCTAAGAATTGGGGTAATTAAATGGAACTAGCAAAATTCTAATGAGTACAATTACCTCCCCTCTAAGACCCTTAGCCACGAATAATCCTCTGGGTATAGGGTAAAGCCTAAACCTGGGACATGTTAATAACATAAGCCTAGGAGGCGTGAAGAAAGATATATACCATGCAAATCTTAAAGAAACTTTGGAAAAATAAAAGTGATTAAAATATTCTTGTTTTATATTGATTTATTTGTAATGATTTATCATTAGTAATTTAATAAAGCTTGGGGTTTTGGGGTTTTGGGGTTTTGGGGTTTTGGGG